GAGGGAGGGAGGTAAACGCACGGACAAGGGACCCTGCCTATGTCATCTGTGACGCAGAATGCGCCTCATGCTTTCCTGTCATTCTATGTTCTGAAGAGCAGCAAGAGTTTTTTCTCCTTAAGAATAACTGATTCTTGCTGGGAGGATTCAGAGGGTGTGCTGTGTGTGCAAACACACGTGTGTATGTATGCATGTGTCTGTGTGTCTATGTGTGTGCACATGTGTGCATATGCAGAACTTTGTACACAGTTTTTAGTCTTTGGCATATGAGAGGATCCTGCTGAAGAGTCTGTTTGGTGATTGGACAGAAATGGGACCCTCTATTATGAATCCATCCTCCTGTGTAGATCTGCAGCCAGTGGAGTCCTGAAGCTGCCCCTGCCCCCCTGCCTTGTGGAGGCCTCCAGGGAATGAATCACAAAGCCAGGTGGGCATCCATCAGAATCAGAGCAGGAGCCCTGCCTGTGGAGCTCTGAGTGCACAGAAAACTGCTTTATCTACCATCACTTTAATTATAACCAGCTCTGAACAAATGTTCCTGCCATGCTGAGGCTGAAGAAGGAGTTATGGAGAGATGGAGCCTCAGACCTGCCAACTTAAATGTAATGGGGTAATCTGGCAAAAAAAAAAAAAAAAAAAAACAGTTCCCAGAAGCCTCACCTCCAGACGTTTCCTTAAATGACTTTGGCTATTTTTAGGGCTTATCTGGGCTGGAACAGTGAGAATGGGGGTGAGAATAGACTTGGGAGATTGAAGCCATAGATCTTAGATGGCCCTGCTGCTCGCCAGCCAGGGGGGCGTAGGTCAATCTCCCAACATCTCTGAGCCTCAGTTTCTCCACCTATGTAAAGGTGGATCTGACAGAATGTCTCTGAGGGTCCCTTTTAGTATAATAAGTGAATATTCTGTAAATTCTAGTGAATAAAAGCATCATACAGCTTTCCTGGGAGGTTAGCTGTTTAATGCTTAAAGGATATATTAGGCACAGTGCAAGTCTCAAATTTGGCCCCAGACATTTTCTCTCCTCCCACCTCAGCCCCCACACCCAGATTATCCTCCAGGCATGCCCATGGTACCTCCTAAATAGCTCTCCAGCCCAGTCTCTTCTTGCATGCCTCCCCTCCCAGCCTCCTCACCAAGCCTGCTCCCCTCTGGCCTCCCCACCCCTTCGCCCCCGCTGCCATAATCCCCATGTGAGATAGAAACTGGATTGTGTTCTCCTCTCTTTAAAGCCCTCCATGGCTCCTCATTGCCCAAGGAAAGAAACCCAAACTCCCCCATGTGGCCCACAGAGCCCAGCCTGGCCTGCCCTTGCCTACCTCATTCCCAGCCAGTGTCCCCAAAGTAGCCAGGATTCCTGTTCATTATTGGAATCTGAGCAGCCACCTGGGCATCTAATATGGAGGAGGTCCTTCATGGCGGTAGGTGAATTCCTTCCTTCTCTCCTTCCCTCCATCCACAAACGGTGCCTCAAACAGGAACAACAAAAGCACCAGACTTTTCAAGGATGGGAAAATGAATCGGATCTGATCCCTTTCCTTAGGGAGTTCACCATCTCCTGAAGGAGACAGAGCCCTAAACAGAGAAGCTGCCCGCACTGGGCCCAGACCCACTGAAGACCCGGGAGGAACTAGGGCTGCCTTGGAGGCTGAGGCCAGGAGTGCACCGTAGGCACTGGTGCAGCCAGTGAATCCGGGCGGTTGCTAAGGTCTCCTGTGGCCACGTGGCCCAGCTGAGTCCTGACGTCTCTAGGCATCTCTTGTGATGTTTGCGTGAAACAAATGCTTCTAGTCTCACAGTGCCTTGTGCCACAGCCCATTTACCTCGGGGATATTTTTCATTTTCCTTCCCAGTCCTTATTTATTTGGGGCAATTCATCTTTTCTCTCAGTGCCCTTTGCTGCCACCTAGTTAATTGCTTGTTGTTCAAACTTTTGTCATGTTCAAGTCTTTGTTTTTATCTGAAACCAATGAAAGTGGAACCAGAAGGTAGAGCGGCAAGTGCGCATTTTAAACTCTTTTGTTGTTCTAATTCTCCCACATGTAACAGGTAAGTGGAAACTCAGATTAAGGTGGCAATTTCCAGTGACCGTTGACAATGCTGTGAAGTAGAGGAAGAGGACACTTTGCAGTTCTTGCTCCTGGCTTCTCACGGGGTGGCCACCTGGCATGAGTCCACCCGATTCTGAACAGGCTCTTGGGCCCCTTTCCTTCTGCCCCATCCCTCACAGTAAGCCATAGGGGGCACTGCTGAGGCCACCTGGGAGCCTTCTCTGAATAAGAGCCAGCACGTCCTGTGTGTCTCCAGCCAGCCTGCCCTTGCTGGGAGTCCTCAGGCAACCCTGGGGAGAGGTGAAGGATGTGTCTATTCGGTGGATGCTTCCCAACATCTGGTTCCCCTTGGGGATCCCTGCTGGGGAGGTGACTGCTGTCTGCCCCGTGCCTTAGAGGCCTGGTCCTGTGTAACCAGAATGCTAGTGGTGGGCTATTGCAGGAATACGAGGCTCCAGTATCAGAGGATTTCACAGAGGACATGGATCAAAAGGTTCTCACCGTGGTCCCCAGGAAGGGAGAGTGGCACTGCCTGAGCAATTACTGGGTGCTGGCTTCCCCTGCAGGCACTTTATTATGTCATCATTTAAATCTCATGGCAGCCCTGCAAGAAATTATTCCATTTTTCCAGTTAAGGAAACAGGCTGGACAAAATCAAATAACTTCCTCAAAGTCACCCAGTGGGAAGTCTGTGTGTGGCAGAGTGTGTCTCGGGCTACGTTTAGCGCTGTCAGTGCCTGATGCACGCTCTACCTTGCCTGAGATCAATATCCTTGCTTTGGGCTGAAGTCCTCTACCTTGCCAGCAGCAGCAGTGTTAACTCGTGGCTCCCGGCATGCTTGCTGAACTGAGGGATTATTTACTGCATAAAAACAGAACCTTCAAATTCACTATTATGCAAGCAATGCAGTTGGATTGGAAGACAGGCTCCTCCCAGCCATGGCAAAAATTGGGGGAAATAGGATAAATAATTACCAATGCTAAAAACACCAAAGATGGTCAAATGTCATCTGTTCTGTCAGTTTACAGATGAGGGAAGTGTCCAGGGAGAAAGTGACATGGCTGAGATCATGGCCAGTCAGTGTCAGGGACACCCATCCACTCCCCATCCCCGATGTTTGTTAGGAGCTTGTCATGGGATAGGGAGTGACCACACCCTCACAGAGCATGAGAGATCCATTTAGAGCTTGGGGCATTTAGTGATCACCTACTATGTTCCAGGCATGTTCCTGCAGATTTTCTTCCTTAAAACTCAAAGTGATCTTTCAAGATATCAGTGCTTATTATCAGAGTCAGAATGTGTTACCCACAGGTGCTTTGCCAGTCAGGCTGACACTGTGCTGGGCCATGTCACCCATCCATGCCCCATGAGCTGGTGTTTCAACATCCCATTTGGCAGATGAAGAAATGAGGCCGGAGACAGTGAATAACTTACCTGAGAGCTAGCAGGCAGGGAAAGTGTGGGAGCAAGGATTTGGACCCAAATATTTCTCATTCCAGAACACTTACTCTTCCATTACCATATGCTATTATTGTCCCAATTTTACAAAAACACAAAGAAACAAGCTCAGAGAGGTTAAGGTTTCTGCTCACAGTCACACAGCTGGTAAGTAGGGCTTCACCCCTGAGTGTCTGGCCCAAGTGCCGGGTGCCTCTGCTCTGCACAGTCTCCCCCAGGGATGAAGGGCACTTTTTAGCTTAGAGGGGTGACATGTGTTCAGTATGACAAATCTGTAGTGTGGGCCAGGCCCTGCTGGCCCTGGGGGTGGGAGCGGGCCCTGTCCTCCAGTGCTGTCAGCTGCAGGCAGCTGGCCTTACCCAGTGGTGGCCCCTGTCAGCCAGCTCTACCTGTATAATGTAGTGGACATCAGGCAGGGAATGTGAATGCCTCCCCCACAAACCGACTATCTTCTGAGAGACTGAATCAATCACATCAGTGTGTGAACAGAAAAGCACAGTTTCCATCCATAAGGGGCTTCTGGATACATGCTTTGTATCTTAAGGATCGAATATCATTTAACATTACATCAAGAGTTCCACTTAATAGCCAGTATGTAAAATGCTATTTAGAAATGACATCATGGCTAATGAGTCATTTTCCAAGAACAAGACAACCTCAGAATGGCAAGGGGCTGGGAAGGGTCCAATCCAAAAAGCCACCCAGGGCTTTAATCCTGCACAATCTCACTCTGCTTGGAACCCCCTTCCCAGACCAGACCAGGGCAAGCCTCAGCTTGGTGGCTTCCTCCCAAAGAGCCTTCCCTGTCACCCCTGCCCAGTCCTTCTCAAATTCCGACCCTGCTTACTTATTCTTTACTGCCTGGAATTGTGCTGGACATTATTACTGTGCATTCGTTCATTTTTGGTCTTCCCAGTGGGGTTCCAGTTGCCCAAGAGCCAGGATTTTGTCTCCCTTCCTGCTCTATCCGCAAAGCTCACAGTGCTTGGCATATAGCAGGCTCCAAAATAGATATTGAATGAACACTCTATGAACACATCTATGGGCAGAATTTAGTGGTAGAGGATGTCCATTGATGGACGACTGGATAAGGAAAATGTGGTATGTATACTCAATGGAGTACTACTCTGCCTTGAAAAAGGATGAAATTCTGCCATTTGCAGCATCATGGATGAACTTAGAGAAAAGGATATTAAGTGAAATAAGCCAGGCATAGAAAGAGAAATACCACATGTCGTCACTCATAAGTGGGAGCTAAAAAAATAAAATAAAATAAACAAATTAAAAAAACCTCTGTACCCCATAAATATGTATAATATGTTTCAATTAAAGAATAAATTAAAGATAAATAAATAAACAATGAATTTGAAATGAGGGGGAAAATTTAAAAAGGTACAACAATCACAATAATACATTGAACTTTCAAAAGGAGAGAATAGAGCTAAGGTTACCACTCCCCCAAGCCCAAAGCCCATGAGTTTTCCATTACTTTTTACTAACAATGCACCTAAGGTGGAAAATGAGACAAGACCAAACGCCTTCTGCATTCTCCTGCACCTTCGCGTTGGAATAGAAGTGGAAGCTGGGCACCTCATCACTCTGTGCTTGTGTTTTCTCCCTGACAGTGTGCTGTCATCCGAACAGCTCCCTCCCTGTCTGTGTCCTGGGGCAGGGTGGGCAGGCTGCCTTTGCAGAGAGCAGATGTGCTTTTCCTTGGTCTCTCATGCTCCTCTGCAAACTCACTCCTGACTCTTCTCTTTGGACAGGTTTTGACCTGATGGATTTGTTCAGTGTGAAGGAAATCTTGGAGAAGAGAGAGAATGGAGCACAGAGTTCCTATGTCCGGATGGGATCCTTCCCAGTGGTGCAGAGGACCGAGTGAGTGGTCACTTTTCCTTCCAGACTTGCCCTGGATGCTCTGGGAAAGGGCAGGAAGGGGGTCAGTCAGCCACAGCTGCACACTGAGCACTGAGTTGGGCTCTAACCTACTCCATGCCTGGTGAGGTCGCCCAAAGATGAAGCAACTGAACCACTGACCTGGTTCTTAGCCGATCTTTTATCATTGGCTTTATCATCAGTCCTTCTACACTCATCTCTTTATAAACATTTGGCATTAATCATTTATTCATGCATGTATTTTTCTATCAATTCATTAAATAACGAACACTTATGGCTTATACTAGGTACATGGGACCTACTATGGACCCGCCACTGTGTTGTGTGGCAGGAATGGCACCACGCAGGGTCACCAAGTGGTTTTGGCCAGTGGAGACCCAGCTTCAGTGTTGACTGGGTGCCTGGCCTTACCCAAGTTACTGAATGCCATGATGCATCAGTTTTCTGTTTTCAATCTGAGACGACCATCTCTGCCTTACAACATTGTTGAGAGGATATGAAAGATTTTTCTAGTGCCTGACACCTATGGGTCTCCAGTCAAGGGCTAAAATAAAATAAATGCTGCATTCTTCTCTCAATAGGCAGACAGATGTTTTGAAAACAAAAATGATATGACATCAGGCCACTTCTCCATCTTCCAACTCTGTAATTACTTCCAAGTGATCTTACACTAAAGGAGCAGGAGGGAAAGGCCCCATGTGTGATCTGGCCCCATCCCACCTCTGTGGTCTCCTCATCCGTCCTCCTGCGCCCACCTCCTCTGTCTCTTCTGAGAGCCTGCCAGGCATCTACCTCCACCGCAGGGACCTGTTTGTGTTCCTCCCTCTACTTGGGGCATCTGCTCTGTTCATCCTTCAAAGTACAGCTCTACCATTGTGTTCTCAAAGATGCAGTCCCTCAACTCCCACATCGAATTGGGCCTTCCGCTTATCTACTCTGCTCACAACCTATATGCCTGCACAACATGTGTACACTTGAAGCCAACTAATCACTTGTGTAATTCGTCCTTCCCAGTCTCCCCTGATTGATGAAAATCCCTAGGAGAGAGCTGAGCCTTGGTTTCTGCTGTAGTCCCAGCACCTGACTCATCCCTGTCCAGAGCAGGGAGTTATTAAATACTTGCTGAATGAATGAGTGAAGGAACCCATGAAGTGTGGGAACACTCGGTCAGACACTAGCCTGGCAAAGGTGGGCTCTGCATACTGGCTGGCAGGGTTTGGATTTTTGCATGTGTGCAGTCATTTTTTTTTTTTTTTTTTGCTTCACTGAGCATTCTCCAAGTGCCAACCATGCAACAGGCATTATTTCAGACTAATGTCATTTTACCCATGGCTCTCGGTACCCGTGCCCTGTGAGAGTGATTTTACGGAAGGGGGAATAAGGCAAGTCACTAACTCCCTCTGAGTTAGCTGTTTTTGTGAAATAGAGACAGCAATCACTGTCAGCTTAATCAGAAGGGAGTCATACCTTCCTGGACTGTGAGGGTTGCTCTTTCTACAAAGAGGTCCAGATGCTGAGTGATGCTAATATTCGTCACCTGGTCCCATGCTTGTTTTAGGGCTCCATAAGGTTGAGCAGAGTCTAGCCTTCACTTCCCAAGTCACTCCTCCTTACTTCCCTGGTGTATTATGTCCAGTTCACCACCCATACCACTTATAACAGGGAAAACCATTTACAACTTCATGTTAAAGGAAACATGCAATAGAGAAAGAGCAAAACAAAGGAGAATAAGCAAGAGTTATACAAGCCTGGTGGAAGAGCCTACCAGAGGACCCTGCTATTTGCTGATGATGCCTTACTCTCATGGGACACTGGGACCAAACAGCAGAACTGCTCTGGGCACCATCCTGTGGAACATAGAATTGAAAACAGTGTCTGGGTGATGGATTTAGGCTCAGGTCATGCTAACAGTTGTTCTGAGAAGAATTTTCTGTATGGTTTTATGTTTGTTTTAATGGCAAAATATCAGAAATGAAATCAAACCAACAGAGCACTGACATTTCAAGAAAGAATAGTTTAACTTTAATTTTCTTTTTTAAATCTTAATTTATCAATATACAATATAGTAATATAGTTGATTTTTGTGTCCCTTTATCAATTCCTCCTTTCCTTCCCTACTTTCCCTCCTCCCCCCGTCAACATCATATCTGTTTACGTGTCTTAACAAAATCAAGGAGTTGTTGTGATTGCTGTGTCTTCTTCCCTCCCCCCACTCTGTTCATTTATTTACTTATTTTTATTAGCTCCCACAAATAAGTGAGAACATGCCCCATTTCTCTTTCTGTGCCTGGCTTATTTCACTTGATATAATTTTCTCTAAGTCCATCCATGTTGCTGCAAATGGTAATATTTCATTCCTTTTATAGCTGAGTAGTATCTCATTGTGTAGATATACCACATTTTCCTTATCCACTCATCTGATGATGGGCATTTAGGTTGGTTCCAACTCTTGGCTATTGTAAATCATGCTGCAATAAACATGGGAGTGCAGGTATCTCTTCGACATGATGATTTGTATTCCTCTGGGTATATACCCAGCTGTGCAATATCTGGGTTATATGGTAGATCTATCTGTAGTTTTTTGAGGAACCTCCATACTATTTTTCATAAGGGCTGCACCATTTTACAGTCCCACCAACAGTATAGAAGGGCTCCTTTTTCTCTGCAACCTCACCAGCATTTGCTATTCTCAGTCTTTTGGATATTAGCTGTCCTAATTGGAGTGAGATAGTATCTCAAAGTGGTTTTGATTTGCATTTCCTGAATGCTGAGTGATGTTGAGCATTTTTCATATGTCTGTTGGCCATTCGTACATCTTCCTTTGAGAAATGACTATTCAGCTCCTTTGCCCATTTTTTAATTGGGTTACTTGTTTTTTTTCTAAAGTTGTTTGAGTTCCTTGTATATTCGGGTTATTAATCCTTTGCCTGATGTATATTTTGCAAATATTTTCTCCCACTCTGTCAGATGTCTTTTTCTCTGTTGATTATTTCTTTTGCTGTGCAGAAACTTTTTAGTTTGATATAATCCCATTTGTTTATTTTTCCTTTGGTTGCCTGTGCTGTTGGAGTAATATTCATAAAGTCTGTACCTAATCCTACTTCCTGGAGTGTTTCCCCTATGTTTTCTTTAAGGAGTTTTATTGTTTCAGGACGTATATTTAATTCTTTAATTCATTTTGAGTTGATTTTGGTATATGGTAAGAGGCACAGATCTAGTTTCATTCTCCTACATATGAATGTCCAATTTTCCCAACACCATTTACTGAAGAGGCAGTCTCTTCCCCAGAGAGTGGTCTTAGAGACTTTGTCAAAGATCAGATGGCAGTAGGTGCATGGGTTGATTTCTGGATTCTCTATTCTGTTCCATTGGTCCATGTGTCTGTTTTTATGCCAGTACCATGCTGTTTTGGTTACTATCACTTTGTAGTAAAGTTTAATGTCAGGTAGTGTTATGCCTCCAGCTATTTTTTTTTTCCTCAGAATTGCTTTGACTATTTGTGGTCTTTTCTTCTTCCATATGAGTGTTAGGAATGTTTTTTCAAATTCTGAGAAAAATGTCATTGGAATTTTGATGGGGACTGTGTTGAGTCCGTAGATCACTTTGGGGAGTATAGACATTTTCACAACATTAACTCTTCCAATCCAAGAGCATGGGATATCTTTCCATCTTCTTGTGCCTCTTTAATTTCTCTCAACAGCGGTTTGTAGTTCTCATCATAGAGATTTGTCACATCCTTGGTTAAATTTATTCCTAGGTATTTTATTTATTTGGTGGCTACTGTAAATGGGATAGCTTTCTTGATTTCCTTCTCTGCCAGTTCATTGTTAGAATATAGAAATGCTACTGAGTTTTGTGTGTTGGTTTTGTATCCTGCTACTTTGCTGAAATCATTTATCAACTCCAAGAGTTTTTATTTTTTTGTAGAGGCTTTAGGCTATTGTATATATAGGATCATGTTGTCTGCAAACAGAGACAGTTTGATCTCATCTTTTCCAATCTGGATGCCCTTTAATTCCTTCTCTTCCATGATTGCTCTGGCTAATACATCCAGCACTATGTTGAATAGGAGTGGTGAGAGTGGGCATCCTTGTCTTGTTCCTGTTCTTAAGGGAAAGGCTTTCAATTTTTCTCCATTCAGGATTATATTTGCAGTGGGTTTGTCATATATGGATTTAATTGTGTTGAGAAACTTTCCTTCTATACCCAATTTATAGAGTCTTTATCATGAACAAGTGTTGAATTTTATCAAACACTTTTTCAGAATCGATAGAGATGATCATATGGTCCTTGTGTTTGATTTTATTGATATGGTGTATCACATTTATTGATTTGCATATGTTGAAACAACCTTGCATCCATGGGATGAATCCCACTTGATCACGGCATATAATTTTATGTATGTGCTGCTGTATTCTATTAGGTAGTTTTATTGAGGATTTTTGCATCTATATTCATCAATGATATTGGCCTATAGTTTTCTTTTTTTGTTGTATCTTTGTCTGGTTTTGGTATCAGGGTGATGTTTCCCTCACAGAACGAGTTTGGGAGAGTGGCCTCTGTTTCAATTTTTTGGAATAGTTTGTACAGAATTGGCATTAATTCTTCTTTAAAGGTTTGGTAAAATTCTGCTGTGAAGTCAACTTGTCTTCGGCTTTTCTTTGCTGGGCGACTGCTGATAACAATTTCAATCTCTTTTATTGTTATTGGTCTGTTCAGATTTTCTTTGTTATCTTGGCTTAGTGTTGGTAGTTTGCATGTGTCCAAGAATTTATCCATTTCCTCTAGATTTTCAAATTTGTTGGCATATAGTTGTTTATAGTAGTCTCTAATGATTCCTTGTATTTCTGAAGTATCAGTTGTAATATAACCATTTTCATTTCTAATTTTTGTTATTTGTATCTTCCCTCCTCTTTTTTTAGTTAACCTTGCTAATAGTTTGCCAATTTTATTTATCTTTTCAAAAAACCAACTTTTTGTTTCATTGATCTATTGTATCATTTGGGGGGCTTCTATTTCACTTAGTTCTGCTTTGATCTTAATTATTTCTTTCCTTCTACTAACTTTGGGTTTGGATTGTTCTTGTTTTTCTAATTCTTTAAGATGAAGTATTAGGTTGTTGACTTGCCATCTTTCCATTCTTCTGAGGTAAGCATTTAGTGCAATAAATTTCCCCCTTAGTACTGCTTTTGCAGTATCCCACAGGTTTTGATATGATGTGTCATTGTTTTCAATAAATTTTTTGATTTCCTGTTTAATTTCTTCTTGGACCCATATGTTGTTAAGTAGAATGTTGTCTAATTTCAATGTATTTGTATAGTTTCCAGAGTTTTGTTTGTTATTGATTTTTAGTTTTAATCCATTGTGGTCAGAAAAATACATGGAATAATTCCAGTTTTTTGAATTTGTTGAGACTTGATTTGTGACCTAACATGTGGCCTATCCTGGAGAATGTTCCATGTGCTGAAGAGAGGAATGAATATTCTGACATTGTCGGATGAAATATTCTGTATATATCTGCCAAGTCCAGTTGGTCTAAAGTATTATTAAGGTCTTGTGTTTCTCTTGCATCCATGGGATGAATCCCATGTTAATTTTTTGCCAAGATGATCTGTTCATTGTGGAGAGTGGGGTGTTCAGATCTCCAACTATTATGATATTAGTGTCTATCTCTTTCTTTAGGTCTAATAGTCTTTGCTTTATAAATCTGGCTGCTCAAAAGTTGGGTGCATAGATATTTATGATTGTTATGTCTTCTTGTTAGATAGATCCTTTTATCACTATATAGTGGCCTTCTTTATCTTTTTTATGGTTTTTGTTTTAAAGTCTCTTTTATCTGATATAAAAATAGCTACTCCACCTCTTTTTTCATTTCGGTTTGCATGGTATTTCTTTTTCAATTGTTTCACTCTAAGTCTATGTTTATCTTTACGGGTGAGGTGGCCTTCTAGTAGGCAGCATATTTGGGGGCACATCTTCTGTGTCTTTTGAATGGGAAATTCAAACCTTTTACATTAAGAGTTATTATTGAAAGATATTGATTTATGCCTGGCATTATATTGATTTTTGTTTGGATGTTTTAAATATCTTTTGTTTCTTTCTTTCTGATTTACTAATCGTCTTCTGTGTTTGTTGGTTTCTTAGAATAGTGGATAAACCTTTTTTTTCCCCCTCTCTTCATTGTTAACATTTTATTTTACTGGTGGGTTTTGTTCTGTCTTGAGTATTCATGGTAGTGATGGTTGTTTTTCAGGTACCAGACCAAGTACTCCCTTGAGAATTTCTTGTAAGGCTGGTCATGAGGTAGTGAATTCCCTCAGTTTTTGCTTGTCTGGAAAATATACTATGTGTCCTTCATTTCAGAAGGATAGCCTTGCTGGGTAAAGTATTCTTGGCTTGCAATTTTTGTCTTTTAGTATTTTAAATATGTCAGCCCAGTTTCTTCTAGCTTTTAGAGTTTCTGATGAAAAGTCTGATGTTAGTTTGATAGGGGTTCCCTTATAGGTGACTTGATGCTTCTCTCCTGCAGCATTAAGATTCTCTCTTTCTTTGAGTTTTGCCAGTTTGACTATAACATGCCTTGGAGAGGACCTTTCTGGGTTGAATATGTTGGGAGATCTTTGAGCTTCCTAAATCTGAAGGTCTGTATCTCTTCCTATACCTGGGAAGTTTTCTGCTATTATTTTGTTGAATATGTTTTCAGTACCATTTTCTTTTTCTTCTCCCTCTGGAATACCCATGATTTGGATATTAGGGTGCTTGAGGTTTTCTATTTTCTCTATTAGATTTTCTTCAAGTTTTTAAATTCTTTTTTTCTTTTCTGTTGTCTGCCCATGCTATTTCAAACAAGCCATCTTCAAGGTCAAATATTCTCTCTCCTGCTTGATCTAGCCTGCCAGTTAAGCTCCCTGTTGTGTTTTTTATTTCATTGAATGAATCCTTCAGCTCCACAAGCTTTGCTACAATCTTGTTCAGGGCATTGATTTCTTTGTGCGTTTCCTCTTTCAGTTCCTGTATACATTTTTTCATTTTGTCGTGTTGTCTAACTGAGACTTCTTGTATCTCATTAAGTTTCCTAAGGATTGTTGTTCTAAATTCCTTTTCAGTCATTCCAAGGACTTCCTATTCTATAGGGTCTATAACTTGAGAGTTGTTGCATTCCTTTGGAGGTGCTGTGGACATCCTGCAGCACACAGGACAGTCCCCATGCCAGTGCTGTCTGGTATGCTTTCTCCAGGAAATTTAACCAGGCCTGTACTAGGATTGGGAGAGGAAAGGTTTCTTCATGGAAAGAACATGTTGACCATTTTCAAAGTTCATTATTCCTCCACATTAATGGAATGCCTGTTGTGCTGTGGGCACCATGGCAGGTGCTGAGGGACAGGGATTTGTCAGTGTCTCCTCATGGGGGACCACATGGGGAAAATGTGGGGGTGGGATGTGACATCAAAGGAGGCTTTGTGTTGGGTGGGTGGGAGAAGGATGGGGGTATGTGCTGAATTAAGAGAGGCAGGAGGGAGCTCAGGTGCCTCTGTTCATGACACAGAGGATGGTGAAAGGACAGCAGGTCTGAGGAGGCTCTGGGGAGGTACATGGGGATAGGATCTTGGTACTCAGTGGAGGAATCGGTCCTCCATAGGAGGGAACTAACACTTTTTATTACTGAATTTGGAAGAGAAAGGGTCTAGTTGGAGGGGAGCAGCAGGGAGTTGAGGACTCCCGCAGGAGAGGGGCTGGCCCTATCGGCTCTGCAGGAACCCAGGTCTCCATGGAGAGAAAAGGGTTCTTGAGTCTTAGTCCTTTTGGGCTGCCATAACAAAGTACCATAGACCGGGTAGTTTATAAACAATGGAAATTTATTTCTCACAGTCCTGGAAGCTGGGAAGTCTAAGATCAAGAACCCGGTAGATGGCCATCTTTTTGCCGTAGCCTCCCATGGTGAAAGGGGTAAAGGAGCTCTGTGGGGTCTCCTTTATAAGGGCACTAATCCCACTTATGATGGCTCCACCCTCCTGTCCTAATTCCTCTCCCAAAGAATCCATCTCCTTGGGGTTTAGGATTTCAACATATGAGTTTACGGGGTGGTGGTGCACAAACATTCAGATCATAGCATCCTGATACAGGGGGCAGGGAACCCCACAGGAGAAGATGCAGCAGTTTGGCCCTGCTGAGGAGGAACAGGGCAGGGAATGGGGAAGGCTGGGAGGCTCAGCTGTGTGTGATCCTGGGGGCATGGGCATTTAGCATCCATCATCAGGAGCTGTGATGGTGGAGAGGCAGAAGCACATGCACACTGCAAGGTGGGTTTGCGTGTGCTCAGGGTGGGGACAGGGAGATGATGAAGTGGCTGCCACAATGGTCTACTGAGTGTCACACTGAGGCCCCGATCTAAGGAAAAGACAGCAAAGGCAGGCCAAGCAGGTGGGTTGTAGATTAGGTTGGAGGTCAAGTTGGCAGAGGGTAGTGGCTGACGGGCTGTGTAGGCTTCCTTGCTGGGTCCCTGCTCTCAGGGCTAAGCCTGGTGGTGTGTGTCTCTGTTTTCCTCCAGGGATGTGTTTCCCCAAGGTTTGCCTGATGAGTACGCCTTTGTCACAACCTTCCGGTTCAGGAAAACATCTCGGAAAGAAGACTGGTACATCTGGCAGGTCATCGACCAGTACGGCATCCCACAGGTACGGGCAGTAGCACCTGGTCTCAGTGGGCCCAGAGCTTTCTGTTTCCTTCTCACAGGGGATGGCATCATCCACTGTGTTTTCTCCAGGGGTCTTAAAGAGATTGGGAGTCTGGTGTACGGAGGCTCAGGGAACCTGTAGAGGAATGTCACATCGCCCAAAGGGCCAGCTTCTTCTCTCCATGATAACCCAGTGCCAGGCCTTCTGGTGCGGAAGAAAGAGGCCGAGTTTCTGTCCTCAGGGACTCTCAGGCTAACCAGGCAGGTGGCAACCAGATCTGCTGTCCTACAACACCCACTCTGTTAGTGACATGAGTGACACAGCTTCGTGCTACAGTAGAAGAAACTGGCTCCGAGTCAGATAGACCTGGGGTCAAATCCTGTGTCTAACCCTTTCTTGGTGGGGGCCGTGAGACATATTAGTTCATCTTTCTGAGTCTTGGTTTTCTTAACTATAAAACTGAAAGTAGAGAGTACCTACCACAACTGGTCGGTGGAAAAATCAGATGAAATAATGCATGTAAAGCCTCTAGAATAGTGCTTGATACATAATAAGATTTTGCCACAAGTAGATTCCTCCTTACAAAGTTCTTAGGTTTTCTCGTGGATGAGGCTCTGGGCCATGTCTTCACCCTCCTCTGGTGTGTTTTGGCTTTTGGTTCTTAAGAAGGTAGAACAGCTCTTCCACAGCACACAGCCTGGGGAGGAAGGACAGTTCTCAAAACCAAAGCCACCGGCACAGTCGGATGGTCTGAGATGAAAGCAACAGTACTTTCTGTTCTCTGCCAAATCCCAATCCCCTCTGCTCAGAGTTCACAGACCAACCGGATCTTTGTCCTGTTCTGGAAAAATGAACTATGTGAAGACATTATTCACCTTCAGCTGGGAGACACTGTCTAAATTTTTGGTTGGGATTGAACTAAAATACAAATATGCTCAAACGATTGGGCTCTGGCAACCTCATTCATGGGCTGCTGTCTGAGAGCAAGCTCTTCCGGAACAGCACGCTCAATCCTGTGCTCACAGCTAGGCCCGGCTGCTACGTGCACTTGCTTATCAACACGTGTGTGTTCTCAGCATGGGCTGGGTTGCTCTGAGCTCACAGCTAGGCCCGGCTGCTACGTGCACTTGCTTATCAACACGTGTGTGTTCTCAGCATGGGCTGGGTTGCTCTGAGCTCACAGCTAGGCCCGGCTGCTACGTGCACTTGCTTATCAACACGTGTGTGTTCTCAGCATGGGCTGGGTTGCTCTGAGCTCACAGCTAGGCCCGGCTGCTACGTGCACTTGCTTATCAACACGTGTGTGTTCTCAGCATGGGCTGGGTTGCTCTGAGCTCACAGCTAGGCCCGGCTGCTACGTGCACTTGCTTATCAACACGTGTGTGTTCTCAGCATGGGCTGGGTTGCTCTGAGCTCACAGCTAGGCCCGGCTGCTACGTGCACTTGCTTATCAACACGTGTGTGTTCTCAGCATGGGCTGGGTTGCTCTGAGCTCACAGCTAGGCCCGGCTGCTACGTGCACTTGCTTATCAACACGTGTGTGTTCTCAGCATGGGCTGGGTTGCTCTGAGCTCACAGCTAGGCCCGGCTGCTACGTGCACTTGCTTATCAACACGTGTGTGTTCTCAGCATGGGCTGGGTTGCTCTGAGCTCACAGCTAGGCCCGGCTGCTACGTGCACTTGCTTATCAACACGTGTGTGTTCTCAGCATGGGCTGGGTTGCTCTGAGCTCACAGCTAGGCCCGGCTGCTACGTGCACTTGCTTATCAACACGTGTGTGTTCTCAGCATGGGCTGGGTTGCTCTGAGCTCACAGCTAGGCCCGGCTGCTACGTGCACTTGCTTATCAACACGTGTGTGTTCTCAGCATGGGCTGGGTTGCTCTGAGCTCACAGCTAGGCCCGGCTGCTACGTGCACTTGCTTATCAACACGTGTGTGTTCTCAGCATGGGCTGGGTTGCTCTGAGCTCACAGCTAGGCCCGGCTGCTACGTGCACTTGCTTATCAACACGTGTGTGTTCTCAGCATGGGCTGGGTTGCTCTGAGCTCACAGCTAGGCCCGGCTGCTACGTGCACTTGCTTATCAACACGTGTGTGTTCTCAGCATGGGCTGGGTTGCTCTGAGCTCACAGCTAGGCCCGGCTGCTACGTGCACTTGCTTATCAACACGTGTGTGTTCTCAGCATGGGCTGGGTTGCTCTGAGCTCACAGCTAGGCCCGGCTGCTACGTGCACTTGCTTATCAACACGTGTGTGTTCTCAGCATGGGCTGGGTTGCTCTGAGCTCACAGCTAGGCCCGGCTGCTACGTGCACTTGCTTATCAACACGTGTGTGTTCTCAGCATGGGCTGGGTTGCTCTGAGCTCACAGCTAGGCCCGGCTGCTACGTGCACTTGCTTATCAACACGTGTGTGTTCTCAGCATGGGCTGGGTTGCTCTGAGTGCATTGCACGTCTTAACTCATTTAGTCCTCATGATGACCTATGAGTAGGTTCTGCTATTATCATCTTATAAGGAAGGAAACTGAGCCACAGAGAAGCTAAAAACTCTGCCTAAGTTTTCACAGGCGATAAGAGCAGGAGTTGAGATTTGAACCCAGGCAGTCAAGCTCCCACGTCTGTGGTTTTAACCACATTCTCAGCTGGCTTCTGGTCTAAGCCCATCTCGATCAGTTAGATGCATGAATATTTTCATGTGTGGGAAGCTGAATGGAGCAGGAGAGCCTTCTCCAGATGCCACTTGGAAAGCAGGCAGCTCATTGTGTCCCCACCCACCTCCATCTCCAGTTACGTTGGTCTTGCTTCTTCGGTTTCTGAGAGTCTGGCGCACTTGGACTGGGCGCCTATCCTGACATTCTTGTGGGGTGAGCCCGCACCACCTCCGCCGTCTGGGTTCTCTTCTTTCACGGGATTTGCAGAGCTGTGCGTGCTCTCTGCCTGCCGGTCTGCATGCTCCCCTCCTCCTTCCGGAATGAGCCCTGGGTTGAAATACCGCAGAGCCATGCAGAGAGTGTCTTCTTGTAGGGACTTGGGATGATGTTCAAAGAGGCACCTGGCAATTCATTTCCATTAAGCAAGGCTTGGTTGAGTGCCCTTCACCGGAAGTGCTGATGATGGTCACCACCACATTTTGGGAAAACACTGGCTAGACACAGAAAACATGGATAAAGACCTGCCAGCAGATGATCTGTGAGCAGCATGGGGTTAGTCACATGCCTGTGCACTCTGTTAGTCACTGTAGATCTACAGGTACAGATGTTCATGTCCATGCATGATCTTACTTGGTATTTACAACCGCACTTGAAAGCTGGCATTTTCCCCCTTTGTCATTTGGGGAAACTGAGGGACACTCACTCATTCCAGATATGTTAAAAGGACAGGGAGGAGAATGGTGTTGTTGGAGCAGAGTAGGGTGTGTGTGTGTGTGTGTGTGTGTGTGTGTGTGTGTGTGTGTGTGTGGGGGNCCAGATGCCACTTGGAAAGCAGGCAGCTCATTGTGTCCCCACCCACCTCCATCTCCAGTTATGTTGGTCTTGCTTCTTCGGTTTCTGAGAGTCTGGCGCACTTGGACTGGGCGCCTATCCTGACATTCTTGTGGGGTGAGCCTGCACCACCTCCGCCGTCTGGGTTCTCTTCTTTCACAGGATTTGCAGAGCTGTGCGTGCTCTCTGCCTGCCGGTCTGCATGCTCCCCTCCTTCTGCCGGAATGAGCCATGGGTTGAAATACCGCAGAGCTATGCAGAGAGTGTCTTCTTGTAGGGACTTGGGATGATGTTCAAAGAGGCACCTGGCAATTCACTTCCATTAAGCAAGGCTTGGTTGAGTGCCCTTCACCGGAAGTGCTGATGATGGTCACCACCACATTTTGGGAAAACACTGGCTAGACACAGAAAAAATGGATAAAGACCTGCCAGCAGATGATCTGTGAGCAGCATGGGGTTAGTCACATGCCTGTGCACTCTGTTAATCACTGTAGATCTACAGGTACAGATGTTCATGTCCATGCATGATCTTACTTGGTATTTACAACCGCACTTGAAAGCTGACATTTTCCCCCTTTGTCATTTGTGGAAACTGAGGGACACTCACTCATTCCAGATATGTTAAAAGGACAGGGAGGAGAACGGTGTTGCTGGAGCAGAGTAGGGTGTGTGTGTGTGTGTGTGTGTGTGTGTGTGTGTGTGTGTGTGTGTTGGGGAGTAGAGATATGGTCTGAAAGGTGGACGAAGGCCAGACTTTATATAGCCTTCTAAGCCAGTGTGGGGACTTTTTGTTTGGGGAAGCATGGGAAGTGTACAGGCTTAGAACAGGGAAGCTAATTAGAAGGCACCCAGGTAAGAGATGATGTTGGCTCCGATCAGGCAGTAATAGTGAAATCGGGAGAAATGATCAGACTCGGGATGTATTTTGAAATGAGAACCAACAGGATTTGCTGATGGATCTGAGGCATGAAGTGTCTTCCCCAGGCCACCCAGCTAGTGTGGACGGGCACAAGCCTTAGGCCTGCTGGTGCGTCCCTCTGGTCTACCTTATGCTAGAAGAGATAGAAACGTTGAAGGGAAAGCTGTGTCCCCAGGAAGCTCTGAAGGTGGTCGGGGGACCCAGGGCTCAAACACATGAAACTATTCTCAAGAAATAGAAGAGCACATTTAATCATGGAAATATTAGATTATGTGTGTTAGAAGTATTAAATGATTCGACAGGATTCATAGCTTATTGTTTTCATCCTACCCATGGCATACAAGCAGGTGACACAATTAGAAGCAAATCCTAGGTCTCCCTGTTGCACCAAAGCCATGGAGGGCCCAGAAAGAGAAACCAGAGACCTGAGTTGTGTTATAAACACTGTGGCTAATTCTCTGCACTACATGGGCATGTTCTTTTAACTGTAGGGCCTCTCATTCCTTCATTCATTCATTCAGTATTTTTTACTGAGTGCCACTGTGTGCCATGTCTTGTTCTAGCCACTGGGGTGGCAGAGATGAACAAGAGAAACAAAGCACCTAAAGGCTTTAAAGGGGTGGAGCAGGGTAGATAATAAACAGTTGAATAAAAGAAATGAACAAGTTGATTTCATATGCTGACACAGTGCTATGGAAAACAGGAAATAAACCCACATGCCTGGGGATGTGAGAACAAATGACCAGGCTAGAATTCAATTACAGTCACAGGTGGCTTAATGATGGGGATATGTTCTAAGAAATGCATGGTTAGGCAATTTCATCACGGAGTGTGTTTACACAAACCTAGACGGTACAGCCTGCAGCACACCCGGGCTACTGGTACAGCCTATGGCGCCCAGGCTCCAAATCTGTACAGCGTGTTACTGTACTGAATGCTGTAGGCAACTGTAACACAGTGGAAAGTATTTTTGTATAGAAACACATCTATACACAGGAAAGGAATTTTTTAGCTACATTGTAGTCTTATAGGAGCACTGTTGTATATGTGGCCTGTCATTGACCAAAGGGTTACAAGACACATGACTGCATATGTGTTTATTAGGGTAGGCTTCACTGCAGTGATGTCTTTGAACTTACTTGCTTAATTTATTGTAACTAATATTTAGAACAGTGCCTGGCATATAATAAGTACTACATAAGTGTTTTACATGTATTCATTTAATCCTCCTACTAAGTCTATGATGTAGGCAATACTGTCGGTCTCATTTTACAAATGAGGAAACAGCACAGAGAGGCTGGATAACTTGCCCAAGGTCACACAGCTCAGAACTGATTTATTGGTTTGGGTGTAGGCAGACAATGGACAGCCCAGTGGGCCCAAATTTTTGAAGAACATTTTAATGAAGTGGCTGAGGTTAAGGGAGCTGATGAGGTTAGGGGGTAAGGATTAAGGAAACCCACAAGGAATGCTGAGGCATCCCAGGATTAGCAAGAGCAGGAAGCTGCCACTGGGCCTGGACAGGCTGAGGGTGGGCAGGGGGCAGGGAGAATATTGGTCTTTACTGGAGATGTTGAGTTCTGGAATCATAGAGGAGGAAGAACTCCCAAAAGCCAGAGCTACGAAGCCCCTCTGGAACCACAGGGAAGCCAGAAGGGGTAGGAAAGATGGGTACCCTGCCTCTCTCTCTCCTGCTCTTTGGTCTCCACTCCGGTGGGCTTCACGGGGGCTAAACTCCACTAGAAGCCAAAAGGCACAGGAGCTGGGGCCAAGGTGAAGAATTCCTTAAAGGCTAGGCTCTGGGAGCAGAGAGCCAGGCAGACAGGAGTGGAGTGTGGAAATCAGGGCAAGTGAAGACTAACCCCACAGAGATGGGATGAAAATGTCCTTGTCCACTCCTTTGCTCAGTGTATGCTTGTGTTCTGTACCTTGTATTATATCCCCTGCCTCTGTACACTGGGAGAGGATCCATGTTGCCCAGCACTTTTCTCCTGACACCTGCAGGTGCTGGCCTGTCACACACAGTGTGTTCAGTGGGTATTCTGGAGGGGACACAGAAATGAGTACACAGACGAGAAGACACACATTCATTCATTCTTAAAAGCAAACAAAAGTTAATCCTTGTTCCAGAATATGTACTGTGCCACAGGCATTTTGCAAAGAGTTGGGGGTACCCCAGGAATCCAGACAACAAGACTCCTGCCATGAAGGAACTTTATCCTTCTGGAGCTTCTACTTTATGCTCAAGATGAGAGGCAGGGTGGGTTAATGGACAGGGTCTCAGACTGGCATGTGGCATCCAGCCACAAGGTGCTTTTGGCTTGGCCAGCTCAGGGTTTTAATAGACACTGAAACTAGTCAGGGTTTCTGGTTGGCCTCACAACTCACCTCCTGTGCCCCAATTGTCCTGCAGTCTTACAAACGCGCTCTCATGCACAGCTTCTCCAGGCAGTTGAGTTTGTGACCCTTAGGTTGATGTATGCATTCAGTTATCCATTTCATACAGAGTTCAGAGTAGCCTGCAAGGTAGATATTGTACTAGGACTTTGTACCCAGGGGGAAACCAAGGCTCAGAGACATGAAGTGATTGGCACACAGACAGACAGTGGACCAGCTGGTAGGAGCCACAGCCAGGATCTGACTCCGGTTTGTCAGGTCTGACTCCGAACTCCCCCCTCCCTGCTTTTCCTCTCCCCTGACTTGCCTGAAGCTCAAGGAGTCTCTGGTCCTCTCCTCCCCAGGTCTCCATCCGCCTGGACGGCGAGAACAGGGCAGTTGAGTACAACTCTGTGGGGGCCGTGAAAGATGCCGTCAGGGTGGTCTTCCGAGGCTCTCGGGTCAACGACCTCTTTGATCGAGACTGGCACAAGATCGCCCTGAGCATCCAGGCCCAGAACGTCTCCCTGTACATCGACTGTGTGCTGGTGCAGACGCTGCCCATTGAGGAGAGGGAGAACATTGACATCCAGGGCAAGACTGTGATTGGCAAGCGCCTCTACGACAGTGTGCCTATCGACGTGAGTACCAGGGGGCCTTCTGCAGCTGCGGCCCTGGGGCCACGTGGGAGGAGCTTCAGGAGCTAGGTGCCCCTGATGTCCTCCCACACCTGCAGCTACCATTTATCAAGTCATCGCTCTGACTACCTTAGAAGGTGCTGTGGATTGAATATCCCCCCCAAACTCATTGAAACTTAAATTGTGACAGTGTTGAGAAGGAGAAATCCTCTTGTGATAA